GCCCGCCGGCTCGTACCCTCCGAGCGAGGGCAGAGTGCGGGGGAGGAGGGGAGCGAAGTAAAGGCACTGAGAAGGGAGGTACAGGGAGGCAGTACAAGAGCCTCTTAGCTGCGGTGATTATCTCACAGTTTACACTCCGCGAGAAACCCTTGTAATCTGGAGGTTTCTTTGCTGCGCATAAGAAAGGATGCTTAATTTTGTGTGCGTAGCGTAACTTTTTCGTTTATGTGGTGCGCACGTAACAAGATCTTTGTTGATCTTCGTGGAAATCCTGTTACAGTTACAAAGCATGTAAATACAATAAAGAGCTAAGTAGCAGGTAAGCATTCTAACATGAAGTTTTTAGCAAGGAGGAATGAGAGAGGGTGCACTGCTTTAATCTTCAGTATAATTCAGAGAGTATGGCACTCTGAAACCTGTACAGAGGAGAATTCTTCCTGTGAGCCTCTGCTAACAGATAGCAAATTTAAATATAATAATGGAGTAATGGATAGTATGCACAGAGGCACGCTGGTATAGTGGTGTTGAGCGTATGTGGAATTAGGCATCTGAAAATTAAATTAAGCTGATATCTGACTCTTACACTGCAATTTTATTTTTTCAGGTCACTAGAGGGTTGGAGAATGCTGTGACTGAACTTGAAAGTAAAGCCAAATCTCACCTCAATGGCAGAAGGGCTGCTTTGGAAGAAATAGGAAATAAAGTCACAATAAGGGCAACACATATAGCTAAGGTAAAGGAACGTTTGATATCTATCTAGAAGGAAAAGATGGATCGCTAGCTCTGTACTAATAGTAATGGTTTTCACTACAGAAACCAGAATGCTCCAGAGCATCTATAAAGCCTACGAAAGGACCTGGTAAGGTGACGAATGTAACTGTAATCCCTAGACCCCCTGCTGCTGTGAATCGAGCATTCAAAGAAACCAATGTTCCAAAGGTAGGAAGCAACACTACTGTTTTGATTTTTAATTTGATTTGCAAGTTAGAGCTGTAACTTCAGAATAGTTTATCTGTAAGCTAATTTGCTTGCTGAAAAAGCAAGACTCTACTGAGGTTTTGGTTTAATGCATGTTAGAGGCTAATGTTAGAGTGATAGAACTAGCTGTGAAGTACTGGATGAAGTTCTAAGTTTGTGCTTTAGTTGGAAGTTGCTGGGAGGTCTTCTGATTCTGTCTGTACAGCAGCTTATTGAAAGCTTGCTGCACTAGGATGCAAGTTCAATTTTTAATTCTTTTCTCTTAAGAAATTGTATTAGTAACTGGAAAAAATGTGGAAGCAAAGGAACATTGCAGCTTAAACTGTAGATATGTGACCACTATGAACTGTTCCTTAGGTTCTGTCTCCTGTCCCTATGGATGTATCTGTGCAAGAGGAAGATTTGTGCCAAGCCTTCTCTGATGTGTTGCTCAACAACATAGAAGACATCGACGCTGAGGACTTGGGGAATCCCCAGCTGTGCAGCGACTACGTAAAAGACATCTACCTGTACCTGAGAGAGCTTGAGGTACGACCTCCTGAGTCTGTGCTGCTGCAGGGTAGTGTCAGTCGTGTTGCTCACGCAGCTCTTTCTCCGACAGCTGCAGCAGTCGATCCGCCCGCGTTACCTGGATGGGAAGACGATCAACGGGCGCATGCGTGCGATTTTAGTTGACTGGCTCGTCCAGGTCCACTCAAGGTTCCAGCTTTTGCAGGAAACACTCTATATGTGTGTTGCCGTTATGGATCGGTTCTTACAAGTAAGATATTTTTCAACTTGTATTTGGTTTAGGAAACTTGTTCAATGACTATGCTTTTAAAAGAGTATAGAATTTATCCTTTCTGTATGGACCTAAGACCCTACAAAATCCCCTCCCTGTAAGAGCTGCGTACAATGTAGCATCTAAACTCTGAGGCTCTGGTCTTCTTTGAACCTGTCACAGGGACACTTCTGACGCAAAGTAGAAAAGCTCATTTACGTTATAAGAATGAGCACTTTCACGGTGGTTTTTTAAACAGGTAAATTGGGATCTGTTTATTTCGGGTTTGATGTTTTAAGGCCTGTTTTTTAAATTCCTTTGTTGCAGAGTTATCCAGTATCTCGTAAGAGGCTTCAGCTGGTGGGCGTAACGGCAATGCTTGTAGCTTCAAAATACGAAGAGATATTTTCTCCTGATGTAGCCGACTTTGTTTACATTACGGACAATGCCTACACTGGCAGTGAAGTTAGAGAAATGGAGATTCTGATTCTTAAAGAGTTAAACTTTGATTTGGGGCGACCTCTTCCAATTCACTTCTTAAGAAGAGCATCAAAAGCTGGGGAGGTGGGTACTTGTCCTTATTATCTAGAACTTTTCCATATGTATTAATTCTATCCAGCATTGTCAGGTGTTCATGCTTGCTGCTTACACACGATCCATACTCCACTATGTGGAGTGACAGGACAGCACAGCATCACTGTGGCAGCCAGTACACATTTGTGTTTGTATTTACCAGAGCCTGTGTTCAGTCTTAGTGACAGTAGTTTTACTGTTAAACTAAACCTACCTAGAGGAGGACCCTTGCTTGTAGAGGAGTCTGTTGTCTGGTGATCAAGGTTTTGCCTAGTCAAATGGGAGCAGTGTTGCAGTTCCTCATAATTTTCAGATGCAAATGTTATATTAAGAATCAAAAGATCAGCTTTCTCTTTGAGACCCAAGTCTCTTTTTTCACCCTGGTATTTACACTCGAGTAAACTGCTCAAACTTGAAGGGGGCATCTTCATTTACCTCACACACTTCACTTACTGCAACACTGGGTAACTCTTGCAAGTGAGCTGCCTGCTTTAATAAGGTTCTCCTTAAGTCATTTTACACTTTTTTCTGTTGGATGGTGTTTTGGTTTTGTTCGGGTTTTTTTTCTCCTTCCCTCCCACTTAGTGTATCACAGAGGAAGCACTTGCATCCATAGGGAGGCACAGCACTACCTGATACTGCAGCTCAGTTAAAATCCCTCATTTGACTTTGTGTCCAGATTTCAAATGGCTGCTAGACTAGACTGGTTTGGACTTCGGTCTCAATTTGGAGATGAGTGCCTGTTACAAGTATGGTCCCTAGACCTTAATAAAGATTTTGGTTGGCTTTATCAGTTAACAAATGCAATAAACAGTCCTGAATCTTTTGTGATAAGGTGAAGTGAAACTTTGTGGATTAACAAGCTCTTGATCTGTTAGGCTGATGCTAAGCAACACACACTAGCAAAATACCTAATGGAGCTGACGCTGATAGACTATGACATGGTTCACCACCGTCCTTCAGAGGTTGCAGCTGCTGCCTTGTGCTTGTCCCAGAAGATTCTAGGACATAATGAATGGGTACGTATTGTAAGCAAACTCTTTGGAGTTTTTTACTTCAGTTGATTGAACCATTAAAAGAACTACTTCAGAAAATGACATTAAGGTTTGTTATAGTGTTGGGGATCAAATGGCAGTTGGATGACCTGATGCATAGTTGCAGGTAGAAAAAGAAATAAACCACTAAAAACTTACTGTTACATGAACTCTGTGGTATGAAAGCATTTTTCTCTGGAAAGTATTGAGCTACAGAAGGCCACACTGCATATAAAGGTAGATTTTCATAATTCTCACAGTATGTGTAGAATAATGACATTGTGGACCATCAATAGTAATTTGTAATTGAACCAGCAGTTACTTTTGCAAGGGTTGCTTCTTTTATCCTGTGTGTGGTGTGGAGCAGTGGTACTTGGCATTGATTGCCCAGACTTGTGAAGCACACCAGGAGTTACTCTGTCTCCCGAGCTGGGGGTACTGGAGTTGCCCGCACTCCAGACTCGTCCGTGCAGCGCCGGGCGTTTGCTGCCGACGCCATCCCCGCTGCTTACCTCTCCCTTCTCGCCCTTCTGCCGCAGGGCCCAAAGCAGCAGTACTACACTGGCTATGCAGAAGACTCTCTTGTGACAACTATGAAACATATGGCCAAGAACGTGGTCCAAGTAAATGAGAAGCTAACAAAATACACTGTAAGTATAAATGCTTAAATCTTCTTTTTAGTATTTTAGAGCTGTCTTTGGTGCATGTTGTGGCTCCTTAAGTAAACGTTCTGTATGTTATCTTAAAGCATATGCTATTCTGACAAGCCTGTGAGAGGATGTTGCATTAGTACTAACTTCAAAACACTTCAGACAAACTGTGCTTTTGCTACTTTGCAAGCTCGTCTAACCTTGTTTCTTTGCTTGTTTTCCAAGCATTCAGACTAATTGTCCCCAAATTACCTGCCCGTACATAAATACTGTATGTGTAAATCTTTTGTAAAACTGTCCCTCTACCTTTGCAGGCTGTAAAGAACAAGTATGCAAGTAGCAAACTACTGGCAATCAGCACAATTCCTCAGCTGAGCAGCAAGCTAATCAAAGACCTGGCTTCATCACTCTTGCCACCACCTGAGGCAGCCAAGTCCTGATGGTATATGCACTTTGTCCTTATTTACTGTTAAGGCAAAACTACTGCTCTGTCTCTTCTCACATAGCGCTCCAGCCCTACCACAGACACTTCCGCCTTACTCAGAACATGGAATTTTAAACTTGCTTTGTAATACAGTTCTTATGTAGAAATAAAGCTCCTCTCTTTTTAAAAAAAGAAAAAAAAAAAGTATTATGACTATGAATCTTGAAAGGCACTAATTGGCAATTGATGCAACATGCAGTTACACATGGGTGATTATTTTCAGTGGTTGAGTGGTTGTTTCCAATGAGAGTCTCCAGGCTTGATAGTGGGTTTTATTTAGTAACTTGTGGTTTTCACTCTTAAAATAAGAAAGAGCAGGCAAGACAATTCACTTTTTTTCTTGGTGGAGATTCAAGGATACTAAAATGTACCTTATTTCAGTGCCCTGTCCCAAAGAATTATACAGGAGATTTTTTTTTTTTTTTTTTTGTAGTTTGTTGCCTTCAAGTTTGGGTAGAGAAGTAGGCTGGCTGTAAACACATACCAACCAGCCTTGTGATTGTGTTTAGGTGAACATAAGACGATGTGTTCTCTGTGTACCTAAAGAAAGGGAGCTAAGGTAGGAAAGTTCTAAGTCTCCTCTGAAGCTAATGACTATTTAAAGGGGCTGCAGGTGTAGAACTATAGGGATGAGGCCTTTTGAACCAGTTCGGCTCTTAAAACCAGCTCTTGGACAAAGCTCTAGCATTCTACAGCCTGTTCACTCACCTACACTTCACCCCACCCCTAAAAAAACCTCTATACCTGGGAGGATACAGTCAAACTCACCCTAAGTAGATTCTTATCACTTAACATTTCACTTTCCTTTGTTTCTCATAAACACCAGTACATGTATGCTCAAGGGATGCAAGCGTGTAAATAATGCAATTTTTCTGCTTCAATAACTAATTTAAGCCTTTGTTAACTTAGTCCTGTGTAAGTAAGGTTAAGTTACAGACCCATAGGTATTCTTCATGATATACTGAACTCATTACCTCCCTTCTCCCAGTGTCTCCTCTTCATGAGTGCTGGCTCTGATGTAGAAAGCAAGAACCCACTACTACAGAAATGGCCTAGACCTCAGTGCTCCCCCTGTGGCTACTGGGGTTTAATCTTCTCAAGCAGGAGACTTTACAGTCCCACAGGATAAGTAAGCATAGCACTTCGTGCAAATGGTCTTCTGAAAAATGCGTGTGACCCCTTGCGTGTGTAAGATTTCCTCCTGCACTGAGGCCCCTGGTTTCTAGCTTCCAGAAAAAGCTGCTACAGTCAGTCGTCCCATAATGGAGATGGAGTTTTAAGTGCCTGAATTAGACTTGGGCAGTGGTTTAGGAGAGAGGGTGTTCAAGGCTTCTAGCTGTGTCTTAGAGCTTATGCTTTAAACTTCCTACTATCAACACAAAGGGTTTTTTAACTGCTCTTAACAAGGGAAAAAATGCAACGCACTTCAACTGAAGGTGAAAGTGGTTTGACTTGAAGCAAAGAAAGGGGATTCTTTTTCTTTAAAAATCAATACAGTAAAATCCAGCGTTGTTGTGAAGGGATCTGTGTTTGTATACATAACTGAAAACAAACTGCACTGTGAACAGACCTGTTTAGCTAACTGCTTCTTGTGTTTTATTTTATGGAGGTTCAGAAGGCAAAGTGTGACCGCTGCTAACTGTGGCAAACAGCCACTCTAGTGTGGAAGGCAGGCAGACTTAAGCAGTAACAGTTTGGCTTTTGCCATTTAAAAGGAGTAGTGCATATCTGTAAGTACCTGGCACAAAAACTTCAGTAGAACTACTTCATGAATAAGAACAGTGGAATACTACTTTATACATTCATACATGTTTCTATCATACTGTTTTTTTATATACAGTATATGATCTGTTTCTATAAATGTACAGCTCTGCATAAAGACACTTCTTATAACGAGTAAAGCATTAAACATAAATCCAACATGGGCCAGCCATATTATAATACAAATCTTGGAAGAAGGCAACATTGTTTAGCATACAGTACTCTATGGTTTTCTGTTTAACTTCTTACAGTGCCTGCTGGAGTCCCTAAATGCATCAGCAAATTCATTACAGCTCTACAGAATTACTTAAATATACCATCACAGTAGGTTTTTAGATGGTAATATCCCAAATGAGCCTAAATCTTTTTGACATGTAGCAGCATACTTTACATGTTCCCCAGAATGATCTGCATTAGAGGAAATGTGCATTTGACATTATCTTCAGTACATAATTAAAAAGGTTACTGATAACTTGGCTGAAGGCACTTACTAAGTACACCCCTTTTGGAGTCCCTGGTCCCAGGCTGCAAAACACCTTGAGGATGGTAGGTTTGAGCATTCTTCACTACTAGGTGTTAAAACCAGGTTTTAAATATAATAAATAAATGGTCAGTATGTCCACTGCTGTATGCCTCTGAGACAAAAGGTCAAAGTCTGTGCTGTGGGTAGCATTCTTGCTACTCATATACAACTTTACTGGTGAAAAGATTGCTGAGAATGGCGGATCTCAGGAGAACAGTGTCCTGAAGGCAAGAGAAAACATCTTCAACCACTGATACCTTCATGACAATTTTTGTCTTGACAGTTTTTTATATCTTGGTGACATAATTGTTGGGAAAAAGACCTTGTTTCCCTCGTAGTCTTCCTGTCCACCAACCAGAAGGATCTGTGACAAAGAAAGTGAAGTAAGTAGTGAAGTTTGGTAAAATTTTTGTGTATTTTTTTGAGGCCTTGCAAAGGTATCCCACACAGTGAGAGCCTTCTTTTGAAGGATTGAGAAGATGTGGTTTGGAGAACCTGAACTTTCTAATCTTTTGGCCACATTGCTATGCCTTAGGAGGTTGCTTTGGAGACCCAAAGATTTGAAACCGCCTTTTTTTTTTTTGGTTCTTGTGCTACGCTGTGGTTTAGGCAAATTTTCAGCCAGACTCTATGCTAGAATTATTCTAACATAAATTTACGGATCTGCAGATGCATATGTCATTGATCTGTCCATGACAGATTGGTGTGGAGACGTGTCTGCCGCCTGAGCTGTCATAGAAATTTGTAAGCCTAAAGACAAAAGATAACTGTGCCTCAAAAAGTTATGTCTTAACTACTTAATGACTGTGTACCTTCCAAATTAGCACTTCAGTAACAAAACCTTTTATGTCTACATACCTTCTTTAATTATATCAATCACATCATTGGCATTAAAGCTAAGTTCATCTGTGTCCTGAGCATCATATGCGTACAGTGCCCTGCACTGTGGGACCTGTGGCTTAGGTTTAGGCTGTGGTTTAGGCCTTCCTCCAGCTGGTGGGGGTCTGTTCGTTGTCTGCCTGCGAACACTAACGGGAGAAAAAAATGTTAGTGTGCTTCAAAGGTTATGACTTGAACCTAAGCTTTATCAACCCCTCCGTCGTAATGAATGGATTCTAAAGAATGCTACAGACCAGGAGAAAAAGGATTCTCTTACATGTCACAATGAAAAATAACACTGTAAGATCTCCCTGTGAAAGG